TAAAAATTTATAACATAGAAAATGATTTAAAACATATGATAAACCTATTAGCTCAATTGGTAGAGCACTACGCAAATGCATAGGGGATGTAGGTTCAATTCCTACATAGGTTATCCTTATAAACAAAATTAATTAAAATAAAATTAAATTCGTACTAAATTATATGAGGAATAAAATGGTTTGAAATGATTTATAACTATATAAACTTTGTTACAATTAAACTCTCATACAAACTTGTGTTTCCACATTACATAAATGAACCTACGTGGGATTCGAACCCACTTCTTTTATGCATTTGCACAATGCTCTACCCTTGAGCTAGTAGGCTATCATATTTAAAACATTCAAACACACTCACAAATGAGCATTAATTTGACAAAATGAGCAAGAATCATTTGTAAAATGAGCAAAAATTCAATACTCATTTGTAAAATGAGCAAATAGTTTGTTGCTCATTTGTCAAGTGAGTAAACATTTCTTTAATTATTCATTAAATCAGCAAACATTTCTTTGCTCATTTGTGAAACGAGCAAACATTAATTTGCTCATTTGTGAAACGAGCAAACATTAATTTGCTCATTTGTCAAACGAGCAAACATTAATTTGCTCATTTGTCAAATGAGCAAATAATTAGTTACTCATTTGGAAAATAAGCAAACCTTTCTTTGATCATTTGGGAAATAAGCAATCACTTATTTGCTCATTTAGCAAATGAGCAAATAGTTAGTAGCTCATTTGTCAAATGAGCAAATACTTGGTGCTAATTAGAAGAACAAAACTTTAGAGTGTACAACATGTTCAAATTGTGCCATTTGAATTTCAGCCAGAGAACTTTCAACCGTAAATATTAAATACCAAGAAAGATGGCAGCTTATAGACAAACATACGTAGTTAGAATTGTGCCATTTAAATAAACATCGTAATTACAAGAAGTAACATTGCAACCAGCACTGGTTTGTTGAATAGTAGAATTCCCAAGCATAAGGTTGCTACCACGGCATTGCATGCTTGAGCAAGATACCGCCAATGATATAGGCATACAATACAAACTGTAAACATAACCACAACCATGCTTAATCTACCAAGCAAACAAGTAAACCAGTATCTCTAAATAAATTTGAAAGGTGAAAATCATCTTAAGTTGTTTAAGTTACTTACTTGCGGCTCCCTGGGCCACAATTGCACTGTACACAGTGACTTGTAGAGATTGCATAACGTCCATTTGGAACAATCAGGCCATAATCAGAAGCAGTTGTTGGAAAATTTGATGCACATGCTGCAAGGCAATGACAAAATTAGAAGCTTATCCATCACACCATTGTTTAGATAAAAGATATCGAGAGAGGATTCCAAGAAATGAACCTCATTGCTTGTTTAAATACTCTTTAAATTTGACAACATGTCGGCACTCATCAATCATAATCACAATTACGCGCGCACACACACACACACCAACAAAGTGAACCTCATTGCTTGTTTGAATATTAGGCACTCAATCATCAATCACACACACACACACACTCACCCCCACCTACTGACCCGCACACACATCCACACACCCCCCCTCCACACACACACTATAATCCATCGTTTTCCGTTAACATTGCAATTTTAGATAGAATTAACTAACTAAATTCTTAGATAATTCCTTTATGTATGCCAAAGCCCTATGGGAAGCTTGAGGCATGGACATGAGAGCACTGTTAGATGTTCCAAAGTTGGCAAAACAAGAAGGAACCATGGTTGAGTAAGGCTTCTGATGTTCTTCAAATGTTGTAGCTTTAATGGGTGAGGAAAGATGGTATGGGTATACTCTATCCCTGTGCAGTTATTATTCAGCTCACCTGACGGCGTACCCATCTGAATCTCATGATCTTCAATGTAAGCAATTACAGCTTCCATAACATCGCAATTTGATATCTCCAAGTATTTTAGCTGATTTAGCATTTTAGCAATAGCTAAGGGGAAGAGAATCTTTACCAGTTTACACTCCTCAATTTTCACATGTTTCAAGCTCTGAAAGCTTGTAGATGGAGCTACACCTCTCCATAGAGCTGTCAAACAAGGGGCATCTCAGACATGAATGTTTGTGAGTCTGGGAAGCACATTGCTTTTAGGAACAATATTACTGGAAAGAAACACAGTATCCAGTTTTAGGCAAGAAAAAATTTGGAGCTCTTGCAGACCTTGAAACCTTTCGAACAATGTAGATGAAAGAAAAGTTTGAAAATGACACTTTTGAATGTGTAGGTGCTTCAGTGGTTGAAAACACTCCAACGGTAACTCTTCAAGACTTGAGAGATTCTTCTAGTTCACTACAGAAAGTTGCTTTGTCATTTGTAGGAAGCTCTCCAGCCAGTCCATGAAAGGCTTGGGTACTCCAAAGTGAGCTGCTATATTGAAGCACATGCTTTTGGCATAAGTACTCTGCCAGTCAAATTTATCTCCTACGTGTATGTGAAACTTTTTTAATCTAAGTTGGCGATTGATAATCTCTTCAACTAGACAAGCAAGATTTCCTACGTACATCGATGTGTAGGGTATTAAGATGATCCAAAGAAAGAACTTCAGCCATAGTAGCTTTTCTCTTGCTTGTCGTTTCTTTTATCTCCCAACCATTACAGGCATTTTTTGAAGTGGAGAAAGATAAAGATACAAAAAAAAATATAAGGGGGCTCACGTGATCGGAGAGAGATAAAGAAAAACAATTACCCAAAAAAGAAAGTGTAACACTTTTTGTGAAATTGTCTAAAATACATAGAGCAACATTAAAAAAGAAACGGAGGGATCAGAGTAGTTACCTGTTAAGGAATTACTTTCCTCATGGGTGGAGAGACAATTTAGTACAATTATTTTTGATTGATTGATTAACAATACAATGGTCGTAATTAGGGTAGCGTGGGATGTATTTTAATTTTGAGAACTCAAACCTTATTAATTCACAACGTTAATTCTTTATTATTCCGATCCAATGCATAAACAAACAAGTTTTGAAGTAATGAATCTTCTTTAAAACTTTGAAAATCAAGAAAATTTCTCATACCATTTAGAATTTGTTATCAAATGTTTTTACAACTAAGTTTGATCGCGTAACATCAAATAAGTTTGTTAAGTATATCTTACGAGTTGACGACAGTCATCCCAACATGCAAAGACATGCACCACGACCAAAGGCATCAATTCAATAACCTACACTACCTATCAATATACGATACGAGTACAATATATGACACATTTATTAAAAAGTGAATATATTCCTTTGTATCTTTTTCAATACTACTCCCTCCTATTTTAATTAGTTGCTACATTTTTCCTTTTGGGCCAATTGTTTTTACTTGCTACATTTCTGTTTTAGGATTGTGGAGCCCACTATTTTTTTCAACTTTACCCTTATTTTTTTGTCATTTCCACCTTTTAATTACTAAAATACCCCTACCAACCCACTTGTTACCACTCATTACATGTGGGCCCCGCACCCACCTACCCATTTCTTAATATTTGTGTTTCCACTATGTAGCAACAATTTAAGATGGGAGGGAGTACATTTTTAGTTTTCATGACCCCTAATGTTAGCATATCATATCTAGCTTTTGATCCTTCCAACGGTCAATTATCGGAATCCAAGCCGATCCAAGGTGTTGCCTAGCTATTTGTCATGTCTTATGTGACAAAGGGTTGAATGCCACATAAGCTAACTACTAAGGTTATGGATCCACTTCAGCATTTGGCTTGTGCTTCACCATACTTTACCCCTTTTCTTTCTGTTGTAAACAGGTGTGTTCTGCATTTGGCTTGTGCTTCGAATCATATAATCATATATAACACGTTGCTTTCTTTTGAAAGATAACTTGCATTCATGTATCTTTCATTCTAAATTTCTAATAATGGCGCCATGATGGTTCGAGATATCCGAACATGATATTAGTATCAATTTGAATTGACGGCGATTAGTGAGATTAAGATTATATTGTGTAGAAATAAAGAAATGGATTATCATCATATGATGGTGATGGCGACGATGATAATAATAATTGGTAAATGTTGTCACTACACGCCATGGATACAAAACAATTTTAATTTTTATGTTTTTGACAATACTAGTTAAAATTGGTCCACAACGTAACAAATATTGTATAATCAGAAAAGGTTCTAAGGTAAGTTAAATATAAATTAATGTAGCTAATGAATTGATTATTATTCATTTATACTTTGTATTTTCTTTGTACACAGTCTCTCATTTGTACAGTATAATTGGATTTTCCATCAACTTTTTTAAACTATATCAACTTGTGAAAATAGTCTTGAAAGTGTCATTGTTAAGCATACACAATATTCAATATTTGACTTGCAAAACTAATCATTATAAGACTACATGATTATCTAACATATATATACGGGGTGGTTCCGCTTAAAACAAAACTTATAGTGAAAATTAAAATAGAAAATCTCGATCATCCATTATTACTAACAAGATCTAACGATTTAAAAGCCAAGTGATCATTCCAACTTTCCATTATATATACTCTATGGTTTAGAACTAAATATATAAAAAAATAAGACAACTTTATCAAATTTGACAACATTTACCTAAAGGTAACTATGTATAAAATAAATGTAACTTATCAATTTTAACAACATTTACATAAAGGTCACTATATAAAAAAATGAGGTAACTATATCAATTTGATAACATTTACATTGAGGTCACTATATTCAAAATAAGGTAACTATATCAATTTTGACAACATCTATATAGAAGTCACTATATACAAAAATAGGGTAACTATATCCATCAATTTTAACAACATTTACATAGATGTCGCTATTTTAATAAAAAAAAGGTAACTATATCAATTTAGACCACTTACATTTACATAAAGGTCATTATATATAAAAATAAAATAACTATATCAATTTTGACAACATTTACATAAGAGGTCACTATACACAAAAATAGGGTAACTACATCCATTTTGACAACATTTACGTAGAGGTCACTATATACAAAAATAGGGTAACTATATTAATTTGACAACATAGAGGTCACTATGTAAAAAAGTAAAGTGGTATTAAAAAAAGGTCACCACATATTAAAAAGAGACACTTTGTTTAAATTTAAACCTATGTAGGATTCGAATCTACATCCCGTGATTACACAGCACTCGACCAATTGAGCTAATAGGCTTTCTACATGCCAAAAACTTCGCCCGCGTAAAAAACTGAGATCAATAAACTCATATTATTACAATCCCTTGTCTCTAAATTCTCCAAGGTCGTGAGATGCTCCTATCCACCAGGCACAACATTCCGCAAAGTATAGCGATTGAGAATTTGCAATGATTTTAGGGAAGATGAACAACCATAGAAAACATTTCCAGCTTCTCCTAGGCTCCCAAGTTTCTTGTCACCCCATATATCTAGGTAATCTAGGCTTTCAAGAAACTGAAAAGCCTCTATGGAACCGAACTTAGCAAGCCTCTATGTCAGTCTAATTATTGGCATCCAAATGATACATAAGTTATGTGGGCTCATATTAAACATTCAACCAAATTAAGGAGAATAAAACATCAAACTATACAAAAGCTCTTGTAACTTAGGTGATTATCGATAGAACAATTAGACCACAGAGATAATATTAGTACGTACTATTACCTTATATATTTGGAGTTAGCTTATGCAGGGCACTCATTTATCAGGATCATATTACCTCCATTCACAATTTCAGTGCCAAGGCAGAATCCTCCCTTCAATTACTTCATTGTTTAGTCCGGAACTCATTTCATCCTTTTCTTAGACCATAACCAGCTCCACTATGTTTCTTTTACCTGCATCAGATGTCAATAAGTCAGGCTGCTGTGATAATCAACACACATCAATTCCACAATCAAAATAGAGTAAGACCGTGTTCAAAGTGGGGCCTTAAATTACTTCATTTCTGATTGCTTGTCTAAAATACACTTTTATGATATTATTAAAATACTGACGTTTCACTAAAATGTAATTCCAAAATCATGAGAATATATCTTTAAAATTTTATAAGATACATCTAATTATTCTTTTCATGCTCTAAATAAATCTACCGTTGTTAACAAGCTATAAACTTAAAAAGTCAAGCCTAAACAATCAATTATGAACAGGGAGAATACTTGGTTCATACGAAATTGATGCAATAGTCCGATCAAACATTACACTCAAAATTTACACCAAAATATTGTAAAAATTTGGAAATCAAGCCTAAAATTATATCAAAAACCTCAAAACTCATAGAATATTTATTATCTTGCGTTCATACGAAATTGATGCAATAATCCACTCAAACATTACACTCAAAATTTACACAAAAAAATAGTAAAAATTAGACTCAAAAATCAAATAATCACAAATTTACACTAAGAAAATAATTAGCTATTATTAATTTTGACTAAATCACACTATGAACTACCAAAAATCAATTAACAACTAGAGCAATCAATGTGAGTAACCAATTAACTAAAATTGATCCAATACGACTAACTTTAGATTAAAGGAATTAAATAAAAATGCAAATTAAACTAGCCAAAGTCGAAAAAAAATATACAGAAATGGCAGTAAACTTGCACAATAATCACAACTTCACAAGAATATGAATGCAAAATGCAATTTGAATCAACAGCAAACAAAAATACCAATAAGAGTATCAGATGCGAAGAACCTTAATATAGGAAGAATTAAACAGCTAAAAAAATTGAGTAGCAATAATCAGCGAATCGATTACCGATAATTAGCAAATCGATTAACAACTACTATAATAAAATCAAATAAACAAGCAATTTGACCTAGGCAATCGAAAAACAAAAATAAGGAAAGAGGTGTAAGAACTTACCTTCAACTAAATTGATTCTGAATCAAAATTGCTAGCTGAATGAAAAAATCAAATTTAATGGCAAGATCAAATTGCATGAAAAAATGAGATAGAATTACCAAATTTTTTTTAGGAGAGAGAATCAGAAGAGAGAGTTCTGCAGATAGGTAGGACTGTAGGAGAGAGAAAATAAAAATGTGAGAGTTATAAAATGACGATCGAAAGCTAAAAATGTTAAATGATATATTATCCGTCAGATTATATTCGACGGTTAGAATTAGTTGTTTTCAATTTTCATTATAAGGTTTGTTTTCACGTGATCCATTCCCTATATATATAATTGTAAGAGATTTACCAAGAGGAACACGCTCCATTGGTTCATGATCAAGGCATTTGGGATTTACCAAGAGGAGAGCCCATAATCCTATATGAACCCCACATCTGGTCATCAGCCCCCCATATGACCGATGCAGGATCCAAGTCCCATACATTGCAATGGGATTAATCCTATAACATTTGCCCCTACTCAAGGATCGACGTCCTCATTGGTTACGGCTCAACTCCGTGGGTCACTACTCCGAGGTTGGCTCTGATATTATTGATACAAGACCATGGCTAGCTCAAAGGATGGAGAGCCCATAGCCCTATATAATAACCTCGCATTAGCCCCCTATATGACCAATATGGGATCCAAGTCCCATACCTTGCAATGGGATCAGTCCTGTAACAACCAACTCAAAACCAATCTAATTCAATCAACCAAATTGGAACAAAATGAAAATTTGGCAACTAAACACACGAATTGAAGTGTCGAAAAGGAATATTATGTACCTGATGATTATCCAAAGTCGTGTGGATAAAAAGTGTCTTTGAGCAAGGGGGTAAAATGGTCTCAACAAGTGGAGGATATAGATGAGGCGTAAATACCATATGAAAACCACACAAGCAAGTATAGATGGCCCACAATACAATGTCAACTGTGCATGACCTGCCGAGGTAGAAGGTTTACTCCCTACAAGCAAAACCGCAAGCCAAAGATCCATACAAGCACCAATAAAGGTAGAAGAGGAGGAGAAATGAAAAGAAGATGTCGTACAATCGCCATTTGAGAGAAGGAGAAGGAAGAACCAAGAAAACAACAAGAAAGAGGGGAACACGTGCATCCAAGCAACAACACATAAGTACTATAAAAGTGAGGGAAAAAGAGAAATGGCATCGTTCAAATGAACAGTAACCAGGCTCCTCCCTTTTTAGGGATTACAGAATTAAACTCTTTGTATACATCCTAAGCTTCCATTTTACTACAACAGATGTATCCATAACTTTCAAGTTCAATACTGTTCTTTGGCAAGATATATCAAATATCACACATTTTGATCCAAGCCAAGCCAACACGAGTAAAATAAAAATCTGCAACACTACCTTGAAACCAACAAGATAACCAAAAGTCTTTAACACTTGGACGTGGATATAGACACTTGGACACTTCATTTTGAGCCATAGTCATTGAAATTCTTCATTAAATAGCCTAGTCGTACATGAATATATGAATCCAGGTAACATAGCCAAAAGTATAATATGCACCAAACTTACAAACAAGATGTCACTAATCAAGCTTAAAAATCTGGATGCTAAACAAGCTTTACTGTTCATATGTGATTGCATCAACGCTCAAACAAAACAAGAATTATAACCCAACTTACTATCAAGGATTTACTAAATAAAATTAGCAACAAAAGCAATTCACTTGATGTTATAATTGCAAAGAAAATGAGGAAGATGATGCCAGAATATCTTTCAGAGATATTGAAAGGTAAACAAGGGGGTTGTTAAACGTCGCTCCCAAATTACTAGGCGTCGCTCGCATTTTTTCCTTGAAATTCCGTATTTACCCTTCGTATATAAATACTCACGAGACTCACTCACGACACTTACAACACATTTCATGCTCGATAAACTTAAAAATCTGAAATTTAAAAAAAAAAAAAACACAGCAAATTCACAAAAATAACTAATATTACCTAATAATACTAGTACTAATTACTCAAATTATCACAAAAAAATAATAATCACAATAAAAATTATAATTATCATACAAAAATTACATTAATAAATTTGATTAATTAATTTTTGTAAAAAAAAATTCGTTTTGATTAATTAATCAATTAAAAAAAAAAACAAAAAAAAAAAAAAAATTGGACATCCGCCTAAAAAATCTGGATCCGCCATGGAAGATCCGGAAATTCTAGGCGGATCCTCCATGGTGGATCCGCCTAAAATTTCTGGATCCACCATAGAAGATCCGGAAATTACATCCGCCTAGAATTTCCGGATCTTCCACGGTGGATCCGGAAATTTTAGGCGGATGTACGCTTTTCAAAAATAAAAAAAAAATTTCTAGGACTTACGGAATCCTCCGACGATGCCTCCGGAGTACAATCGTTGTCGTCATCTATCGTCCTAAACCCGTCACTAAAGTTTAATAAAAAAAATTTTAAAAAAAAATGGGATTTTTGGGGGTGGCCTCGGGAATTTTGGGTTGGATGTCGTGGGCTCGGGAATTTTTTTAACCAAGTAGTGGATCGAATGTGCTCGGGAATAATATAAAATGCTCGGGAATCTTTTTAACCAAGTGGTAGAGCCTTATATAGTCCAACTTATAGAAAGGGCAATATGGTCCTTTCATGTCAAAATGGGAGCGACGCCTGGTAAATTGGGAGCGACGTTTAGCAGTTCAGGTAAACAATTGCAAGGAAGATGATGACAAAATATCTACTTCTTTTTCACCATCTATCTAATCTGTTTCCAAGATTAATTAATAAGATATTGAAAAGATACCTAGTATTACAATTATAAGAAGATGGTATCCAAACCGAGCAATGAACTAATCAAAGAAAACCAGAACTACGATAGTTATACTTCAAGCAAGACAGCAAAAAACAGAGGCCAACACATGGACACTTTCAAACTTCACAAAAATATGCTACAGAGAACACAATGGATCTTCAATAACAGGGAAACAAACTTTGCTTAATCCACTGCACATTTCAGGTTCAACCACAGCTACTCAGAAAATTCCCTATGTAAATAATGACATTTCTAAGTTTGAAAAGGCATAAGATTAATTTCTCATACAGCATACAATATATATCATTTTATCAAGACTAAACATTTGCATTCACTTAATAAAAAAATCTTCGTAACAATAATTCATAATACAAGTTAAAATATATTGGTTGAATTATTTGAAGTTATTAGTTTAGTTTATGATTCAATCTATCACAGTATTTACACAAACAGACAAAGAACTCTTGTAACTCTTAGAGCTTATTAGATCAAATGACGCAAAGAAAGACATTGAGGGAATGATCATTCTCTATTGTAAACCATGCATATTGCATGAGTCTAATTGTAGTTATGCTACCACAGTGTCATTCTTTTTTGGCGGTATTTTCTTGCTTTAATTGCTTGTGATTCATAGAGTGCACACCTCATGTTAGTCATATATGGTTCGAGGTCAAGAAGACTATGAAGCCGGTCCTTACAAGTATACATACAATAGTTAAAATTAAGTATATAAACCAAAAAAAAAAAAAAAACCAATTAAATTTCTTAATTATAATGTTAGAAGATAATAGGTCTTGAATTCTTGATTCATAGTTCCAAATGTACTAATTGTTGTTTTATTAATTATGCTGAACTTTAGAATATCAAGGCCAACATGCTTGTCTTCATACTTTATAAGTTCCAATTGATAAAGGGACCGATAAATCTTTTCATTTTTTATTTTTTTAATGGACAACACTTTCTAGAATTATAAATTTTACAAAAGAGAATGATCAATTACTAAAAATAATCTTTGTTGGACAATTAAGGTATTAACAATCAATGCCTTAATCCCATAAGCGGGGTAGACTACATGAACCAAATTGTAAAATTCCAAAATGCAAAAGAACACACACTTTCTAGAGTTGTAATTTATTTTATTTTTTAAATAATGAATTACTGAAGATAATTTTTAGCGGAAAATTGAAGTATTAACAATCAACAAGCAATACCTTAATCTCAAATGAACCAAAATGTCATTCCACAAAATAGTCACATAAGATTCTCCATTCCCTCCGATCAAGTGCAAACAAAACAAAAAAATTATATAATGATAATGATAGTAATTATTATACATATAAATATATTATTATTGGAATTAACAAATAAGAAAGCCAACACAGCCACCACCATGCGATCACCCGTTGGTGCCTATATAACTGCTTGTATTTTGACAGATTACATCCAATAAACACTCACTTACCAGTGTTCTGACTTCTTGCACAGAAGTGTGGATAAAGAATATTTTTGACGTTAGCTTCTAAAGCCAGGCCTATGAGGGTACGGATACTGCTGTTGGGAACCCTCGGTGAAAGAGCAGTGGAATTGATGGTTGTTGTAACATTCGACAATAACAACCTTTTTCAAGCTTCAGTTGATGGTAACTCTCAAGTATCCCTGTCCTCATGTTGAACTGAAAGACACCATTCATGTCCACAAATACCATGTCCCTATCAAAGGGATGAAAAGCCATGAGCCTGAACCTATAATCGTATTTTTTAAGAGATGGCTGATGTTGAAGTATCACCCTGTGTGCCGACTGCCAAACCCCCTTGTGATAGTCTTCCAAATCCCAAACAAGCAGGACAGTGCCGCCATCAGCCTTCTTGTAAATAAGACGAGCCAACCGAAACTTCCCTTGGCACACTCCAAAGCAATATCCAAAGATTAAAGAGGGCTTAATGGATAATTCATTTGGTAGGTCAACTGAATGGCAGCTGAGATTATTTGCATTTGCATCAAGAGAAACAAGCGAGGGTCCATTTAGCCAATGTAACTTGCCCTCGTGAGATAGAATAGGGGTACAGGAGAGATAAGCATTCAATGACCAGGGGTACCAATCAACAGCGATGTCCACCCACTGTCTCGACTCTGAAGAGAAGATTCGAACGCTAAACTGTGAGGCATATATTTCAGGCGGAACGACAACACACGGTTGAGGAAACATGATATCGCTACGAATACCAGGAAGTAAAATCACCTTATATTTACACAAGCCATCTCCATTCTTATTATCATGGGAACACAAAAGTCCAGCTTTTGGATACTGCATTAAGTTTAAAATAGTTCGTTCACGATCCTGGTCGCGGATAGGAGGAGGGGGAATGTGTATCCAACACCTCGTAAGCAAATTGACCACATAAAGACTACCAAAGTGACCGCAAAGAAGCAGGTCATGACACGAGGCCATAACACGCATTGGCTCAATCTTTAGAAAGTTGTCATTAAAGTCCCTCTTGAAATTCAGGTCAAGTGGTCTGTTTCTTAGAGACTTAGACAACACAGGGTGATTAGAAATGGCTCCAATAGGATTCAATATTTCCGCATTTCCACTTGGACCAAAAACTGAATATTGGAACACTAGGGTAAAAGGACATTGTTGATTATGATTATATTCGGTAAAACGACTGACAAAGTAATCACTAGAGAGTAAAGAGCACCAATGCTTGCAAACCAACTTAAATCGACACACAGAGTCAATTGGGAGACGTAGGAATATTTCGGTCAGCAGCTCGTCTATCATGCTGCTAAACAACTCAAGCTTGAGCTCTAAATCAGCCTCAGCCTCATTCTCCCCTCTCGATTTTAGTTCCTTCCTTCGTTTCGAAACAACCAATGTTGATGACCTCTTCTTAACCTTACTCCGTTTTGTCATCAAGCGAGAGTAAGGCACCATGTTGAAACCCATTACTACAAATATGATAATGATTATGATGATTATAGATTAATTTACAAATTACAGAAAATACCCCAATCCAAAACTCAACCCCAGCAACCAGGGAAGGAGGAGCTGCTGACCTGTTATCAGTGAAAACAGGTCAATTTCAATTCAAAAAATCCACTTACAAAACAAAGTTCAAAACTTGATTTGATTATGATTATGATTATAGATTAATAAAGGGGTTTTATGTGGGTTTTTTAAGATTGACTTGAGCAATGATTATCTTGCAAAACTAAACTTAGGAGATTTTACGCTGAATTTTAAACAGGCCCGTCCCTGAGGAAGCGCAGGGAAAAGAGATTTAATTTCATATTGAATTATCTCGAAAAATACATAATTTTAGGGATATTTGATTCAATAATCAAATTGCGCTCATAATTTTCTTTTCTTTTGGATATGATGTTTCATAATCAAAGAATTTACGAACCCTAAACTTAAAGCACTGATAATTAAATTAGATTAGATCAAATATAAACCCTAGTTGTGAAATTGATGTGATGATAACAACAACAAACAACTTACCTTAGAAGCTGCTTCAATGGGGGATACAAGAATTAGATTCAACGGAGAACGCTTCAATGGAGAACGTTGAGTGCGCTTCAATGAAATAACTCAGAGAGGTAGGAAATAGGGATGGAGGCCTTTAAAAGCCATGACCCGCCATACTTATAATATGGGTTAGATCCGTCTGATAAATAAATGGGACGAGTCTTTATATGATCGCCTAATTATGAGATAGGTGGGCTTTATAAAGGTTTTAAGTAAATATGTTTTAAATATCAATAATCAATCAATCAATATTAATAACTATAATAATAATAATAATAATAAATAAACTATGAATATAAATATAAATATAAACATAAACAATAAATAAACTATATAATAAAAGACACACCAGCAATGACACGTGTCATTTCCTGGTGTGTCCTTAATTTTATTTTATTTTTTTGGTTTTTTGAAAAAAAAAAACCTCAATCATAGAATAAAATCTTATACAAAAATAATTTATTATATATGTTAATACAAAGATAATTACTTTAAATATAAAAGATTGATTTACCTTTTCACACAAACATTTATGACTATAATACAAAATATTAATATGATTTGCGACATATAATGATTTACTACACAAGAGTATTTATATTTTTTTCCCTTAAAGTTGTTTATTTATTGATTAGAATTCACAATAGAGTAGTGCATATACATTTACTACCCCTTGAATGATAATAACCC